AATATTGTCGCTAACTTCATGGCAAAACACTTAAGAAGAATGCATTTTTCAAAAAAAAAAATAACTTATGGAATCACGTCTGTTTGTATTCCGATTTGCATTTGCATATTAAGCAAACTATGTATTGTTTCCCAGCACCTAAATTGTAGAAAAATTACTCAGTTATGCAAATTCTCTTTTCTTGCCGACACAAATGCAAAATGCAGGACAGCAATTTGGATGGACCTTCATTAAATTCTATTCGTTGTCCACATTACGCGGAACTTGCGCTTCTGATAGGCCATTGGTCAGCAGTTTTACGAATATCAACCAAAGGAAAACTCATCCACTTTTTAACATGCCCAAACGACTCTACGTTTTACCATGTGGGTACAGATTTTGACAGGTAGATGAAAAAGGTGCTTTTCAACAATTGGAATGGTATCCTACTTGTCTTACACACGTGGCATGCGTAAGTAACCAAGCACATGACCTGTTTTGAATGCATACTTTGCTTACTGCTAATATTCCAAGAAAGTTAACATCAATGGTTGACATATTATTAAAATATTTGTGTATCCTTCTTGATAAGGTAACATTCTGAGGTACTGCTGTTCATTAATCACTATCTTTTGCATTCCAAATTGATTTCCCTTAAAAGTCCCTTGCAAAAATGCTGTGGTCAAACTACGAAGAAACGAATCCTTCAAGGGTACAAAAAGATGAAACTAATGTCGTATTTATTCAAAAATATGAAATTAGTAAAAAACGATTTACCTAACTGATTCCGTGTGACCAAAAGTGACAATTCATTGCATTTCTATGGCTACTGTAATTGCAATTTAGTAACATTTTGATTTGGTTTTCAAATTCCCAATAGAGTAAATCCAGTCCATTTCGAAGAATAGGGCAAAGTTTAGAAGCTGGTCTTTAACGTTTGTCATTGATAAATAAAAAAAATAGAGGCTGGCAAGGAATCAAGATTCTACAAAATTAACTTGACTCCTAAGTGTAAAAGTGGTTTGCATATTTTAGCGATGTCAAGTGCCATCAAACTAAGTTGTATCAAGAAAATACACAATGATTTTGGAAAATAAGATGTGACCAGTAAAAAAATTTATTAGCTGCCTGCTGCATGTAGAATTTTGTTTAATTTATAGTGTGGTTTTCTCCGGAGACTAGGCTAAACTAAATAATTCACAAGTTGATTACATGGGAAACTTAAGGTTATTCACTGTAGGGCCAAAAGGGTTTTCACTATCACTTGCAAATGTAATTAAAGTTTGCATACCTAAATTGACATTTTCTAACAACCTGCTAAATTTAAATCAAATTCCAGATCAGAATTTAAACTTCATTTATCAAAAACATAAATTTAAATAAAATTGTCTTATTTTAGATGTATCCTGGTTTAATTTTTTTGCTATGTATGTCTGTTTTATTTAAGTAAAAAGGATTTTCAATTTTGCCACTTTAAGTTTAACCATGAATTGTATCAAATAATTTTTAATTGTTTTTTGATTAACATTGGACAAATGTAGCATAACAGTGTCTGAAATCGTTTGCTTGATCGACATCCCATAAGCTACACAAAAACAATTTTGTCTCACGCTCCATTTACATGTCTAATAGACTCTATTATTCTCCATGGTTAAACAGTGAGCATATTTTTTTATTTAAAAAAAAATCACATTGTATTTCTAAATGAACGAAAATTTTCAAAGGCTTTAAGAAATTGTTGTTTTTAGGAAGATGAAAAATTAAAACAAAAAATGCGAAGCATTGCACAGTCGAATTTCTAATGCAAAGAAGCGACTAACGGTTTTCGATTACGCTAAATTATGCGCGATATCCCAATACAACTCGAATTGGATGATTAATGTAGTTTAAATATTTTAGCGAAACTAACTTTCTCTTTCTATTGTCTAGGTGAATTAATTCTTCCTTACCTAATCTGCGTTGACATTGTTTTGAAGAAGTTAATGCGACATTAAAATCAATTAACAGTAATAACACAATTTTGCACAATTACAAAAGCAGACATTGCTTTTGGACTCATGTAAACCATCAACAGCGGACATGACTTTTTTACGCAGAAGACATGAGACTAAATTAGCGCATCTTGTCACGCATGTTTTTATTGCACATGAGGGACTTTGTCAGCTGAGCAGCGACTAATGTAAATTCCAGGCTTTCCTATCGGTAGGAACCATCTTGATGGTTACCCTAGTCTGCGTGGTTGCCGTCAGTGGAAACTGCCAATTTCCAGACTTTCTTCTTTTTCCTACAACAAACACCTGGTGGTCTGGACCTGCTCTTAGATCCGCTCGTCAAGGTCGAAGTCCATTCTTCACTCAAATGACTGTCAGAGGTGACTTACGTAGGGTGTTTATCACGTACCCGCTTGACCTCGCAGACCGACCTCAGCACCCTCTTCATCAACACCCCTTTAATGCACAGTCTCGTCACAATTACACATCTGTACAAGTTGATATGAGATGCAATCGCGTCGTGGATAGCAAAACCGAGACGTTTATTGCTGAATTTCAGATGCCAAAATCGAGGTACGTAAAGTTTAAGTCTAAATATTTAAATTCCAACTAGGAGTAGGAAAGCAAGCATTGTAAAATATAAATGCGTTTTAGATGGGACAAACGTGCCCATGACAAACGCGGAAACCAGTTGTGGTACAGTTAAGCCTTCATGAAATGACCATGACATATTTGGTGTTTTTTTATCCACAAATGACATAAAACACCACGAGCTGAGGAAGCAGAATCGCAAACGACTCCCATATATTTGGAAATTTGAAAATCGAAGACATATGACCATTAGAAATGGTTTGCGTTTGAATAGTTGTTAGCTTTCTTTAGATACTCTTTAGATTTGAGTTTCGTGTTGAATCGTAGTTGACTTAAATTAGAGTCTGGAGCTAGTCAATGTTCCCACATCTAGGAATGCTAATTAGCTGTGATAGGTCATAACTGGCGACACAATCCGTTATGTTTGGTCAAAAGGCCAATTCGTCTCCTCTGCTGACCCAAAAAATTGCACAATTTGTAAGGCGGTGGGACTGAATTGCTGCTGTATATGGGATAAATAGAAAGATTTGAATGTGGATAGTTGCAGCCAGTAAATGGACTTTTGCAGCAAAGGATTCTTCTATCCCGAAGGTTGTACTTATTCTTCTCAGAGTTTCCGTGTATTCGAAGGGAAAAAAAGCAAAAAGTAACGCAAAATTTGGGGCTTACCTGCATTCAAGCTGCTGCTGCTTCTGAATTACTGTCATATTTAGAACGCTTATTATTTGCTCCGTATTTGATTTAATTAATCAAAGCCAACCAAAATGATCTCTTTTTCTGCTTTACAGATTCATGTATGTCTGCATGCGCTTTCAAATTCTTGACAAAAGCTCATCTCCAGAAGTCTTCGAACTCTTTCAAGGTAATTCGTGTCCAAAAAGAAATGTACTTTAATTTTTCCAAGCTGATTGGTTTTTTCCTATAATTTGAAGGCGAAGGCTCCCAAGTACTTAACGACTGTTCCAATACTGAAGCGTTTATTCATCGGAGCGTGTGGATACGTAAGAGGCCTTTAATCATATTAACTTTAAGTAAAATGGAAACAATAAGCTATATTTTGATTTAATATTATAAATTGCTCTCAATTATTGATTGACAAAAAAAGAAGAATTTCGAATTTACATTCAAAAATCCGTGTTTTTATCATACGTGTTTGTAGGTAGATAACTCAGTTAGAGCGCAGAAACTTGAAAATTAAATACCATTTAAGTTCCTGGAATTGATAACCACTAATAAAAGCATAGTTTGTTCTTATTGCTAACATAAATGTTGAGTTGTACAAATTTGCACAGTATCTGAACCTTAAATCTACAGTTTACCATCAAAGTTGAGTATTTTAAACTCTAACACAGCGAATTATTAAAGAAACATTGTGGTTTTTCAAAATGCCAAGTAACTAATGTAGAAGTAAATTTATGTTTCGGTTGTGAATTCTAAAGTAAATTTTTACCATAGCAAATATCGAGCGGTATCAGATGCCACCCAGACGAAGCCGGTGCCCACTTACCGGTGGATTTCAAACCAAAAATTTCTTCAATTTGGATTCAAAAATGGTGAGATTTTATCTGCTTATCTTACCTTTAACAAACCCGTGGGTAGACTTCTAAGTATCCCAAATTGCTTTAATATTTTATGAAGCTCACAATTTTTTCTAGCAATTTTACCTAAAGGAGTTTAGTAATTAGGGCGTTAATATTTTATGCTTTCAGCCAATTTGTCCGTCCTCCGTTTTTGTAACCATTGACTCAGAGTGCATTCGAGGTGAAGGAATGGAGTTTCACTTTAATGAACCTGCCTGCAATCCGTTCGAATACTCACTGAGTAGGTTTAAACTATGAAGTATATTATGTAGGCGGCATGTTTGAATTTAATTATTTGACAAAGGATGCAACGTATTTCACTTTAATAAAACAAACAGTAAGGGCATAACCTCATGTGATCTCGAAATTTAAATCACTTGGATAATGCAGAATAAGCATTTACGATGCTGATTTCCTCGTTCTATTTAATCACAATTTACTAGCAGAAACAACATCATTTTTACTAGGGTAAAGCGACTAATGATTCCAAATTTTAAACGGCTCTAAAATAACAGACATGTAGGCAGTTTGCCTGTCAGCCTCAAATAACCCTAATTAAAAATTGGTTTCAGTCCAAGTGCTTGTTCATATTTTCGAAAAGAGGTAATTTACATGCGAATGTAGTCACGATTGGAAAGAATTAGCCTTGTTCTCAAACCATGCGTTAGCTGTCATGAAAATCGCACATTTGCTAATAATTTTGAATAGGCGCTCATGCAGAAATTGTTGACAGAAACAGTAGTGTTAGGTTAATGTTCCGAATTAATTTTTTGTCGAGCAAGCAGCAGAGCATTTTAACTGAGGCAGCCACCATTATCTAAATGCATGCACTCAATTATAAAAAAGAACAACAACGCGTACATGTCATTGCCGAGGAACGTAGTCCTACTTTGTGGGTATAACATGTCGAACAACGTTATCACGTGTTTTTTCACCCTTTCAATCCAAGTGACAAAATTCACGTGCTTCTTCCAATGGACCGAATTTAAAAACGTCAATGCTATTCTTGTAAAGGATACAATCAATTCTGAAATTGTAGTGGCCAGCCTGGTAAGTGAAAGCAATCGATGTTACATTCAATGAATGCAACCAAAATGGATTGTATTTGTTACGTTTGTGCGTGCAACCAAAACATGTTTAGAGACACAGTACCCTAAAGGATGAATAGAAATTAACACACATTAGCTTCAGTAAAGTTCCATGAATGGGATGGCCAAATCTTGGGACAATGAAGAATGCCTCGGTGACCGCCGGCTTACCCAAATGTTCTAGTAGCATGTAGATAGTGTATTTGTGACAGCAGAGATCACGTTTTTTGCCTAGGTTGGTACTAAAACCGCAGACCGGAAATGGCTGAAACACAACCGTTTACCAGATGGCTTACCTTCGTAATGTTCTCGCTCAACTGTTCATAAAAAGTCGTGTCAGACTAATGGGGCTTACTGGTCAGTACAGACTGGATGAACTAATAAAAGTACAAAGGGAGGTACACCTGTTAGGATGTTTGGCCAGGCAGTTCCACATGAGTGGAGGAGGGTGCAGTGAAAAAGGTAGCGGTGTTTCTAGGCATGTAACGACCTGGCTAACAGACGGGAATCGACAGACCACACTTCAGAGCCATTTGGAAATAATTATGGCTAATAAAAAATACACGTTGTGATCACCATGCCCCAAAAATATATCTACGGATTTTGAAATAGTTAAGTATAGGTGCATAATATGCGAAAACAGCACGGTAAATAAGTTGGTTCTGCCACCCACATTGAAGGGGAGCGTTTTCAAAGGATAAAATGGTGCATTTGCTATCTTCAAACACCTTTCACGTTATCACGTAGATCCACCAGGAACGAAATACCCACAACCGCTAAAATTGCTTTCAGCCTGTTTACTGAGCCATGAAGAGCCCTCTTGTGTGCCTCAAAAGCTTCTCCGAGAGAAAGAGCAGTTAAAGCGCCATGGTAAACTTTCTCTTCAGTAATACCAACTAGTTCTACCGAACTAGTGTGGCCATTTGCACGAGTTAGGTTATTTATTTGTTTAAAATGAGTAGATTAAAACAACTAAGCATTTTTATTCACATGCTTTAGACTGAAATAAGTTTGATAACTCTGTGTCAGTGTATCACAACGAGTAGCCAAATCATGTTGAACGTTTATTTCTAGATGTACAGCGACGTACCAATGCAAGCGGATGTGCTGAACAATGAATATGGCAGTTTTACACAAGCCTTCATAGGCCTGGGTATTTTTCGAATGATGTCGCATACGAAAAAGCACTCTTCTGCTCCGTTTCCGGCGTACATTTATGACCTTGGACTTTACGACGCCAGCTTTCAGCCTTTGAGTGTAAAGGCCACTAGTGCACTCCTTTATGAGGTTCATATCCGGGGCGCTTGTAAGTTCAGACATATGTTCCTTTTTGAAAATATAAAAAAATTAAATTTGCAGAAGACAAATTTTGACGTGGCATGATAAAACACCAAGATTCACTTATTTCGACTAAAATTTGCTACAGTAAATATTGCAATTTAATGTTTTAAACGTCTTAGTAGACAAGAACCTTACTATTGCATTATTATCAGCCTCAAAATGCCTAAATATCACCTATTATTGTTACTGACATATTATTAGGTAAAAACAGTAAGGTTTTGTCAAAAATAGCCACATCAAAAGACAATAATGCGGAATTTAAAACGGTTAAATCCAGAATCGATGACACACTTTTCAATAACTTCAGTGCCACTTTCCATTTAAATGCAAAAGCCTTCAGGAAGGTAATGTGTTCAATTGCTGTAAAATTTTCAGCGCCGCTTCGTGCCAAAAGGATTAACCTGAGGTTGGATGCACTTCTTAAAAAAACATTTCAAGATAAGTATTTATATACTTGCAAATGAAACGGATAAATTTGAGGGTGAAAGGCATTCTCTCCAGAGTCTCTTCATTTCAGTCCAGTTAATGGGCAAATTTCACAACAAATGACTCATTTATATGACGAGGTATAACGCTTTGAACTAAATATTATACTTTGACTGTTTGTAAGGATTTACAAGTGATAGGGCTGCAAGACGACATTCTCTTTCAAACGGTGTAACTAGGCACTGTAAAGTTGCCCGTCGATACTTTAAATCCGCATAAACATTCATTCGTTCACCCACACCTAGCAGTGCATAACAGCACCACTTTTCATCGTCCGTGACAATGTATTAAGAGGCATTTGTTTTGCTTCCCTGATTTAACAAGTTTCCAAAGGTAAATTAACTTCGACCGCAACCTTATAAATGTTTACTTGAACTGATTCGTGCGTGGTTGAGGTCTAACTCGCAACGTCTATCTTCAAACATAACCTATTACTGGGTGCAGTCTCCGTACTCAAATTGCCCAAACGACGTTCTTGGCTTTAGCGTCGCGATTGTACGCAGTGCAAAATGCCCGCTATTTTTGGACCTCAGCGTAAAGTTAAACTTGTCTCGAGATGCGCTTGATAAAAAAATACTTTTGTAAAATTGAAAGGGCGTTTTTTCCAGCCCACATAACTTTGCCATGCAGACGAACTATCAGTAATAATGGTTTTAATCTATGAACAGGTTTATGTCCTAATGCAATTCTAACTGCACGGCTTGTAAAATTCTAATATAAAATGTCTACTACAAAAATGTCCATCGATTTTTTGACGTCCTTTGTAAGTGGAGGTTCATTGACTGCATTTTAAAATAAATTTAGATAGAAACACTTGTTATTCGGATGGAAGGTTTTATTTCTGCTACGTAGATCTATAATTAAATTATTAATGAAAATAAATGACGGCACAGGCTATGTGTATAGCAAATCATTCTGTTTAAAACTGACAAATGTGTAATGAAACAATACAGCGATTCTGTTTGTGACACAGCCCGCTGACAATGCTTTTCAACATTTTGAGAGCAAAATAGGGTGCCAAGTAAGAAACATTTCAGCTGCACTTTGGGGAATTTGTTCAAGATAATAGCAATTTCTATTAACGACAGCCTATTGTAGTTTATAAAAAGACGGTCTAATTTAGTCAGTGCTGATTGTACTTAAAGTTACGAAAAACATCCTTTGTTTAGACTGACCAGCTTTCTTATTTACATTTCATTGGGGAATCAGTGAATTAGAATAAAATGTGTCCATGGCATTTAAAAAAGTTATGACTCTTAGAGACTAATCATTTCAAAATATCTCCTGCGTTTTAATATATTTAACGAGTGATTTCATGCATGAAGGTAAAAAAAATAGAGGTCTTCATTTGCTAGAACTTATTCCTTCATTTGTGGCTTCAGTCGGAATCTGCGATGACGAATTAGAACAATGTGAAAAGGGCTGCAATGCAGATGCCCGAAATCGTCTATTCTGCCGTCGTTCTTGCCCCTCAGTGCGAAAACAATGCAGTGAGTTAGCAAATATACCAGTTACAAGCATCGCTTCTATTAAGTTTGTACCTTACTAAATAGACTACATATTAATAACATTTGCAAGTTTTAGCTATAGTCAGAATGCATTTGTTTATATCTAACTGAATATCTTAAACCAATAGCCCGACTGTCAAAACGTCTACATTGTCTCTTTAGCATTTCGGTCTCAAGATGCACAATGAATTAATTTACTTGCATTGTGCCCTGTACTTTTCCCTACAGAAATTCATTTACTGCTAGCATTTATCTGTAGTGTGTATCTTCCAGTCGTATTTGCTGTAAATTTTTCAACAATAAAAAGGAAAGGTTTAAAATTCCCATTAGTCTGATTTAACTAGGGATTAATTAGACGAACATTTGTGCTATGAAATCCAGCTGACAATATAAAAGAAATAGAACGAAAGGACTACGTAATCTAACTAAACAGGTTTTTTGCAATTTTTGCTGAAAACTCCAGGCTGAATGTGCCTTAATGGTGATACAATGAAAGCGTCAGTGCAGTGATTGGCAACTGGAGATAGTTCAAAAGTTGGCTTATTTGGCAAAGCTGCCAATTTAGCGTGATTCAGGGAATGAAACAGGAAAGGGCAATCCTGGTTAGAGAAGCACGTGACCCCAGTCAGGTCCATTAACACACAAACACCTTTGAGTGAAAAAGTGAATCACGCTAAATTAAAACTTAACATTAACAAACTTGGGAAACTCTACGAGCCTAGGGATGTTATAAATACTCTAAAACAGCGACAATATTCAATTAACTTGATTTACAGCATTCAGTTTGCTTATTGGCCAATATTTTTATGCTTAAACAACAAACCAACGTCGATTTTCTTACGTCATATCATTAAACATTTTTTCCGTTTACTTCATAGGTATACGGGTCCGAATTTAGGGCTCAAACCAAAAATTCTAGTATTTTATATTCGTATTTTCACGAAGTTCTTAATACTTGCTTTTCTGTTAAAAAGTGTCGAAACTAATTCCTCAGACAATCCGCTTTTAAGGTTTTGAGCGTTGCAAAATTATCTTATAGTGGCACCTGCATTATGTAATTTCTATAGGTAACTCTTGAGGTATATAATTTAGCCTATTAAACCACTCTCAGTTAACAGGAATAAGGAAACGCTTGACATGCATTTCTGGAATTAGTATAAGGTAACAAGACAAACTGACAGTTTAATTTCAAAACAAAATAGCACAGGCCCTTAAAGGCAAAACTAACACTAACAAAAGTCTAATCAACAAGTAATTTGGAAATTGAATGCAGGATAGACTGAAGACATGAACAATGCCGCCGCCTCTTATTCCAATGTTCAATAAACCGAGGAAACCGGACCTTTTATCTTCAACAACAGGCCATTTGCTTTGTGTACACACCTAATAAATGGACTAGCAATTGTTTATTCTAACACATTAACAGCGCATGCGCCAATTGACAAAAAAAGGGTTTCTTTAGAGCTAAAGCTTACATAGTCACGCTTTTAAAAGGACTCACAATTGAAAAACAAATTTTTAACCCTACTTTAATTCCCTTTATTCAAAGGGTGCTGGGTATATGGTAGGAGCAGCCAAAACTGAGTTTATTACCACGAATTAACTTCTAAGAAATCAGTGCAGCTGATTGCTGCCCTTTATTTAGAGTTACAAGAAATTAGTTAGAAAAAGGCTTTTTAGTTCACTTTACTTGCATTATCAGCCACTTAAATAATTGTCATTTAATGTTTAAATTTAGAATTTTCTTAGAAATATTTATTTAGGTTCGTGAAGCAAAGGTTTTTGTAAGTGGTGGAGCGTTGTTTAAATGTCCGGTAACTACCTAAACAGGCATTTAAAATGCACGGACCATTATGCGTTGGTTTTCCACGGGAAAATTCGACTAAAGACACTATATATGCAAACCAAATTGCCACCATGAATGCTCAGCAGGACGGTAGCAATAATTTATTGTCAGAATTGTGTTAATTTAGAAGCAAATCTGTTTGTTTGTTTGTATTAGCTTATAACCGGGTTTGTTAAAGTTGCAACGGACTTTTAATCTGGCCAATAAAGCAAGATTTTGAAGTAATCGATTACAAATGCTTTTTTTTAAAACATTGGCAACCTCCCTTTAAATAAGTGGAACAAATATTAGGTTCATTAAATCATGTTGCCAGAACCTAATGAAATGAGCACTTTGTCGGTTGCTAGTTGAATTTGTGCCTTGCTTCCAAAAAGCATGATCATCCTAACTTTTTCTTTCATTCGTTTTGGCCGAAGGAGTTTCTTACGTGGATTGCTGCACTTTTTACTTTCTGAGTAATGTTCTTCAAAGTGACCGCGTGGTTTTACCAATCAGTGTTAAAACAAAACACTGTCGCAAATTACTAAAACGTTGAATTAAATTGAACAGTAAATTTCTTAATTCACTTAGGGATTACTTAATTCGTTTCACTGTTCAGATATTTATCTAAAATAGATTTCTTAACATTCTAAAACCTTTTAATGGTATGTAGCGAATGTCTATTGGTCTGTCTACAGAACTATTAAGACGGTAGAGTAAGACAAAGTTTGCATCTGTGTTCAATTATTTTGCTTCCGAAAATGCGGCAAACAGTTTCTATTTAAGTAAACATTGTATATATGTCTACTGTATTGGTTAATTAGGGTGAAGTGGAACTGACTTTTCAGTCCTCAGTCAGCATTAATTTAGCAAAAATTGTGATTCTGTTTGATCAGAACTGAATCGAAAAATTAGCTGTCTTTGCTACTACATAGGTAAAATCTCTTTAAATAGAAACTCTAAAGTCTTGTGAACAAATATTAAACGAATTGTTTGCAAACTGTTTAAAGTGAACTATATTTCTCCTAAAAGCCTTTATTAGACTCTACAGCCCCGAGCCATTTTACATCTTAATGGAATATCTTTTTGTGTTTTGTTTTGAATTTTTGAACTAGAGTGGTGCTTCTTATTACGAATTGCTGTGTTCATATGGGACTAACATCATCATTTGACGCTGTAACGCTTTTTGCGCTTAGCAATGGCTCACAGTGACTCATGCGAGATCAATTCCTCCTATCGCGGATTGTGGCGCCTCATTGATCCTCTGCCTAACTCAATTGGAGCGGGTGCACAATTGCGAAACCAGTCAAAAACACGTCTGCGAAGGCTGATAAATATATCGGACAGGATGGTCAGCTTCGCTGACGTGCTTCGGGATGAAACATACTACGAATTTTCGTGCCTTCGAGAGGCTAGCGAGATTGTACCGGACTGGTATGTTTTAGGCGGAAGACAGCTGCAGCCAGGATGGTAAGTGAAATTCAGGCATTGCGTATTCGTTCTTGGATGAGCAAGTATTCCACAGATTTCCCCATATATTCGGCACTTGACGAGCTGTTTAACAATGGTAGTGGTGGTAACCAACACTAAAGTTCTAAAGCTCTTTGACATCCACAAAACTAGTGATTAAAGAGGGTGATGAAAAGGGGACGCTGCACGACGGACACCACCGTTTATCCATCCACTCTGCATAATGTATCGATTTAAAGACACGGTAGGAGCATAGACTAGACGCACAGGTAATATGCGTATTTAAATGTCTAAGGTCTTAGAAAACAGATATGGCTGCAACAATTTATTTTATTTAAGAAAAAAATTGTTTTTAGTTAAGCAACCGAATCAGACACCGAATCGAACAACCTTTTGTTTGTTGTTATCTGCTTTAGTCATCCGAGAGATATTTGCCTCGAAGTGTACCAAAATCGTGCAATTTTCTCCAACGAAGCACCCAACACAAACACTCTCCAGTTCAGAATATGTAAGTGCATGTAATATACTGCCTCCAATTTGGCAATGTTATAGAGTCTAACAATGTGATAAGATGTAGGGCACTCTCATCATACTAAACAATGTGACTATTTGCGAAGTTAGTTGGATTAAGAAACGATAGGAGCATTTGGATGTGTGAGCTATGCTCTCAAAATTTATTACAAGTTTATTCAAGAAGGAGCATGAGAGTTAAGAAATGTATATTTGAGAAAGACTAATAGGAAAAGTCACGTAAACGTGCGCAATCGCGCATATTTGAGTTATTTGTGTGCTTAAGTGAGGCAACGAATCACTTACTTACTTGAATGTAGGATTAATGATCCATTACAGGTGTGTACTAACGGTCAAACACACAAAGAAGCAGACAAATATAAGGACATCTCATTTTCTAATAAGTTGTGTAAAGCACTAATTCTGAAGTAGATCGAAAAATATGTCCAAATCTTTCATTCAAGCAGACTTAGTCTAATAATTCATGGCTCTATTGAGTAAAATTTGGCCTTTCATTCCAATAATTATGTAGTTGACGCAGATATTTCCAAACCAGTAATTACATTTCATATGTAAAATGTAACTGTCTTCATTTTTGCATGTATGACTCATAATAAAATTAAATTTTATCAGGATTTATGATGATATGCGATAGTTACTGAACAAATATCGAAACAAAATACTTGCAATTCTGACCGGTCACCGGAATGCAAAAAAATGACTATATTAAATCTAAACTTGAAAGAGCTAGTTGTCAAGGAGCTGTAAATTTGCACTTTACTGTTATGTCTGCTCAACTTTAAAATTTACTAATAAAAATAAACTTCTAGCTTCCTAAGTTTCTAGGTCTTTTATAACTTTGTGTGGGCAAGCCACTGAAATAGGGTTTCTACAACATCCAGTCTTAAAAGTATATTAAATAGCATTGTTACATTGAGATGCCGGTCAAACAAAACTTGTGAAATATGCATTAAAACAAGTTAGAAATTTAGTTATCGACGCACACTGAAACCAATATTCCTTTATTTAATAAAACAGGAAACCACTTATTATTATTAGGGGGTTTTAAATGGTTTCGCTTGGTCTGTGATTAATTGTATCATCTACTTTTTTTGAAAGTCGATCTTTTAAATGAATTGCTTTACCTCGATATCGCGCACACTCTTCAGCCATGTAGATTGCAACCATTTGATGCAAACTTGTAATCTGCAAAATCCCCAAATGCATTTTAAAAAGGGTGATTTGAATCCGGAAAACACGCGCAGAAAAATTCTATTATAGAGTAAACAGTATTTTTGAGATAGATGAAGTATGCTTATTTAAAGTCAAAGAGATAATTTGGGCATAAAAAAGTCATCAAATGCTCCAATTAGTCGTGATTGCAAACCACGTCTTTGAAATAGACTTATCGTTACACCTCATACGCTTATATTCCTTCTTTTAGCTTCGACACAAAGACAAGGCGTCGACATTTCAAGTTTGTGCATTTTCCCAGAGAACTCACACACTACCAAACAGAGGAGACCACAAATGCTAATTAAGCAGCCCATGCCCCAAAGTAAGCTATCATGCAATTCACCATGAACCTCGGATTTGGCCACTGAATGATTCAATGTAAACGTCGTTAATTCACTTCAAAGTGATGTGCGTTTAATAGGTTCAAACACAAATTTAAGAAATAAATCAAATGTGTTTCATTTCATCTGTGAAATATGTTTTTTGGCACTGAAAAAGATTTCATTTTGGAAGTAAATTTTGCGTGGGCATTTTCTCAAAGCAAACATTTTTGCGTACACTACTAATAACACCAAAAATTCCTTTTTTAACAATTGAACTAAAGATACATATAAATGTTATTTGAAATGTCTTGGCACTTTTGCACAATCGCAATGCCTCCTCATCCGCTTTATTCCATGTTTAAAAAAATATGCACAATAAAACAATTACTCATGCAAGACGGTAAAAAATAGAAACTGCATTTCAACGAACCGCGTCTCGTGCACAGAGAACAATAGACGCAGCAATCTACAAATCCGACACTGATGTTCTTTTTGTGCAAGGCTTTCTTTAAAAAAATCATTTCGTGGTTAAAACGAGTCCTAAAAGTACTAGGTTCTCTGCGTGTTCTTGCAATGCTGGCTAATTACTTGAATATTACAACTTCAAAAATCGGACCGTAGGCCAATTGCAAATTTATTGGATGAAATTTAAGTAGCAATGTTCATGTTTAAGATTAGTAATCTTCTTGCTGGCTTGGACGTTGCTCAATTGTTACCAAATGACAACTTTGCCCTTCGATTCAAAACCACGGGTATGTCGTTAAATTTAAACTTTTCAGATTTCTTTCGTGATTGTCTAACGTGAATTTATCACCGCTTAAACTAAAGTCCGTTGCTTCTAGACTCCAAAGTTGATTTAAACGATCTCAATCATGATTGAGGCACAACTAGAAAAAACTTGAAATATGAGCATATGTAAAGCAGTTAAAATGAAAAAAAAGAAATTTCAAAAATGCGCGAAATCTGTTGCAATGCTTTTTATTAGTAGAAATACTGTGAGGCGCTATTCGATCAGTAGGGACATGTATTTATTAATTTCTTGTCAAATTGCGTCTTGAAAGGAACATGCTAGGGAGCAAATGGGTGCAAATCTGGTTAGATTAGTCAGAGGCCTTGATTACGCAGGCACGAAGATAGCTCAAATTACAAAATCCAAAGCCAGAAAACGCACGTGATGATTAGCGATGACGTTTTATGGATTTGTCCATCTTTTAGAAGCCTATGGACTTAGGCCTGGAAGAATGTTTAATCCATCCAAATGTGAGATTTACCAGATTCGACTTCGCGGCTCGATACGACTTCGGGCTCAGCTGTTTGGCACTCTCATTGCCATTCAATCAGAACTGAACGAAGATCTATACTTTGGTCAAGAAATTCCCAACGAAATCGACAAACATCGTAACACCTGGATTCAAATCTTCAAAAAGCAGAGGGACCTTGCGTTTTTGCCTGAAATGGTTTCATGCTCAATTGAGCTGTCCGATTTTAATCCAAGACTTGGGACAACCGGTGAATTCGATGGACATCTGCGTCTGAAATCAGGCTGTTCTGTGGATCCCTTCTCTCGATTTGCAAACACCGGTAAGAAAAAATGAGCATTTCCGAAAATCCTAAGACACGATACGTGGCTCTGAATGATTTAAGCGTAATGCTGCAAAATCTCGTCAAAGACGATTATTCTGAATTTGGCAAGTGTTTTCTTAGAAGATAACTATATATCCCATTGTTTTCATGTTGTTTTATCACAAAAGTCCTTGGCCGGATGTAAAACGTCTATTGTGCCACCAAATATTAAAAAGTCGCCTAGCAACAATGGGAATTTAGTCCTTTTCGCCCTGAGACGACGTGTTCCGTGTGTACGACAACAGAAACAGCGGCATTACAAAAAACGTATCAAAGACCTTTCCTTCGTAATTTGGCGCCATTGAATATTAAACCTTCAGAAACGCAGATGGCCCTGATAACGCAAATGGCTTTTAACTTCCAAGCACTAAGCTTGGTTTTAGACTGCTTGTTTTCCACAGTTGAAAGAATTGTTACAAGCGCCTGGAAAATATCTTGGCAAATCCATATTTCTGCTATTTGTTTATTGTCAACTCTCGATTGTCCAGTAGATTTCAGTAAGTATAAAATTTAGACACCCATAGCGCATGAAAAGGTGTGTATATGGTACTATGTCATTGGCTGACAATGGAAGCAATGTGAACGTAATCTAGTGACACTTCACCGTAGTCTTTGTCGATGATCCAGCAAATCTTTCCACATTCAGCAAATATCTAGTATGCGAAATACTTCCGATTTTAAAAGCAGAACATGTAGGTCAACAGAGAAACACATACTTAATTGTGGATTGCTCGTTTTTTGTCCACATTTTTAAAACTGGAAACACCCAAACCAATTGTATTTTCTTTACCAACGTATGAATACTCTACAATAGCAATTTAAAAGTGCTTGTTTAACATAAGATAGCAACATAGTAATTAGTAATCAAATGTATAACTTGTATAAGTAGTCAATCTGAAGGCTGCAAGCTCATTTAATCTTGACTCTGATTAGTGAAGTAAAACGAAGAGCCAAAATTTCGAAGTCCACCATCGTCAAACATACGCGATTACCAAACAAGGTGGTTTGTGTGAGTTACGTTTGAAGTAAACATTAGATTCTGTGGCAAAGTTATCGCTATCATCTGCTAAAATCATCTGCACGTTCGCAATCCACACTCTTTAACATAAGTTGACTTCAACATCTCATCATCTTTCTTTAAAAAAGTAGTGATTTAAACGAAATGCTTAATTATTAATACCGTCTGATTTAAAGTACTCTCCTGCCGTCAGCGTCGCAACTGATATCACTCCTTGGAAGCTTCTGGAATTTTTAATTGAACAAGGTTCAATTTTGGCTTAGTAGGTGATTTTCCGTAATGTTCACGTCAAATTGTTTTGCAGTGATGTATTTTACGAACAAAGGTATTGAAACCAATCGACAACTAATTACAAAGCTGTAGTAATCTGAAACTCTTTACATTTTTCCAGATTTTTTTTGGTTCGTAGATATTAAATACCTTAAACTTATGACAAAAAAAGGTTTTATTTTTTTGTCCCACACTTTTTTTACATTCTTTTGTGTCAAACGCAATCATAGACTTGCATGTAGCAATAAAGTTAATTAGCAAAAATTATATTGACTGACAATGTTAAAATACAGCTCAGTTTGAAAAGTAGGAAATTCGTAAATTTATTGTTTGGTAGCGATTAAGTGTTTGTTTTCTCACACCCAAAATCACCTCCAGTGGACCAGTACGCGAATCCCTTGTTAAACGCAAGCTGAACGTTCTTAGCGCCGTGCCAAATACATAGCCTTGTTGAGGTGGCTTTTACTGCAATGGCTGAGCATCATTTCAAAGTGTAGAGTTACTCAAGGTCACAATGGATAAGGCGGAGTTAACAGCGATGAAGGAGTTCGGTGAATAATTTGCAGCGACGTGCATAGTATGCTTGCTGGAGTCCATGAATGGCATTTTGCTTAATTGAGACACTATTAAATCCAGTCACAGCTCAAACGTAGACTTCACTAGATTATATAACCTTTACACATTTATTACCCAGGTCTGCACCATATTTTAATCTTATTAATTGATGTCGTTGTCAGTTTTAATTTCTTCTTGTAAAGATGGGTGAGATAAAAACGATTATTGGATGGATTCTTTAACAACTATTGTGTAAAGGTGCAGTTTATCAATCTTTACTAGCCTTTCAATTATGGCAATTTTTTTCCGGATTAAATTATTATTTTGACACCAAGGAACTGATCTTGCAAACGGCTGCACTCTAAAGCAATGTATTTTGGTTCACTGCAACTTGTATTAACTGACACTTAGCGGTATTACTGAAATCATTGTGCGACATCATGTATTCATTCAGGGAAATTCATGATTGTGTGGAGAGGGATTCTATGTGAAAACGTTTTCCCGTCAAATACATGTTAAAACATTATTCACTTAATTCCCTCACCAGAACTAAATTTGTTCGTATTACCAACAGTTAATATTTTTTCCACTGGATTGCATTTATTTCGCAGTTGTTAAGTTGTGCAAGTATCCTGCGTATCTGATTGTGACTAGAATTAGGACATTGGTCCTCATCTAATGCACTTAATTTTACCCCTGGGATGTTGGAAAGCAAATTTAAGACCACGGAGAAATATGTCGGCAGGGTCTAATCGTAGGGACAAAACGGAGTTTTTTTCCAACTCAAAATCAGTAAAAAAGCACAGAAGCTTTCTCTTGGCCGACAACGTGTGCGGTAGTCAAGGTAAAAATGTTAATCGCTGTACATCCTTGCTACGTCTCCACAAAGAAAGCTTCATTTTGCAACGATTGTCGGTTTCTTTTTGGTAGGTGGGTAGGGTGGTCAAATGCAGTTTCTTTTTTACCTCACCGCGAATTTATGGTAATTTATTTGGTGCATTTTAAATTCTCATATTGTTGTCATGCTAAATGAATCTTTAATTAAAAATGTATTAGGACTTCTTACACATGACAAACGTGGGTAACATTCTGAAATTAGCTGAACAAAGATCTTTTAGAGAAGAACGAATTAAGGGAAGCTAAGTGACAACTTATGAAAACAATAAGAAAATTACACATTTTACACAAAAAACAAATAAATGAATTCAACCGTAGTGAAATTCTAATGTCATGTTTCCTTTTTTAATTTTCCTTTACATTCATTCCATCGTTTTAAACTTTTCAGCTACTCATGCTACCTTAATGCTTATTTCTTTCGCATAGCCCACCAGTGCATCTCAGTTCACAATTTGGACAAGAGTTTCAAGTACACAAAGCGCTTCCTTATGCTTATTACCTATTCGGAATTTTTCCGTAGCTTCTTTTGTTGGGTAAGTTGATAAATGTTTTACTTAAATGCCTCCATTTACAATTAGGTTAGCAGAATCATGTGAGTGATTCTGCCGTATACTGATGCGCACTACTAAAAGCATTTTTACTTGAAATGAGGAATCATTTTTTGTGTACCGAATAGGAAACACAAAAAACTGCTGCTGATATCATCAAACGCCATTTCGTTTGCTTGTTTGCACGTTCGAGTGACAGCAGAATTGTCCTTTTGGCCTGTCTTGCTGGTTTTGGTTGAATCGTGGAGGGAATCGTAGCTTTTCCTCTCTAAAAACGCTAATCGTTGAAGCTAAGCCTATCTGTTTCATTGCTCGATGGCTAGTCAATAGACACATAGGATTGAATTTGCCATTACAAGTCTACATTTGGCAACTATAGCTCCAAGGCTTGGATAGATCATTTCGACATCAAGGAGTAGATAACGAGAGTCTTCGATAAAGAAATGTGTGGGAAGATGAGATAAATGGAAATAGAGATTGACAACAAGTACGCAACAAATTGTGGAAAATGTGCTGCGTGGTGTGCGGATTCGTGCAAAGATTTTATGCCGCAATAAATTAAATAGTTCGTGCCCAAATTTGTGGTCAAACGTCTCTTAGGCTTGTGCTTTCCTTTCTAAAGAAATGATCTTTTGACAGCTAAATACAATAGACAATAATTAGCTTACTCCTGAGCGACTTACCACGACACTTTAGCATCGTAAATGGCATTTCCTGAAGATATTCACTACTCGTGAAATTTTTGGCATTTCGACTTGCCAAAAATCGATCCCGCTCAAGGTCAAACCTTGCGAATCCTAGTGTTACCTTTAACTCTTGATTGCACAGTGAAATAACGGAAGAATCAAGGAATACCTGTTTATTGTAACTAAATTAGTGAAATTTTGCACCGCAATCCATTTCGATCATGGCTAACAAGCAAATTACATGGGCGTTTCCGCTCAATGCAACAGCATAAGCAGAGGTTGGACCAAGTTATTTTTTCCTTATGCACCATGTGCTTTGAGCAAACTCGTGTTATTTTCAAGCGATAACACCTCTATTCACTCGTCAAGCGTGTTTATATACATTAAAGCAAATGATAGGGACTGTTAGCACACAACAAACAAACAAACCTGGAGATGGAAGCTGATGTCGATTTGTTTATGCATGCGGGATCCGTCGTTAATTATTAATGTCATTACTATGACCTACACCAACATGAAACTAGACATACCACAACTTTACCAAACACACCTGCTATTCTGTCTCGTTCAAGGTATCGCTGTACAAATTGTTGCCACACATTCAACTAAAATTGACATTGTTTGAATCATGTTAAATGGCATTAAATTCCGTTTTTATCTGTTTGAGACGTAGATTATTCACATCACTCTATTCGTTGATCTGAAATGACTGGTTAGTAACTATATTTATGCTCTCTGCATAGTGTGACTTGCAAAATGTGTAAACTGGCAACTAAAATATTAGCTGAAGCTATAATCCATAATTTATTTGAATTTGACACGTCAGGTTAATTGTTGCGTGTTGACAAGTTTCCCTTTACGACAAGTCGTCGTAAGCACTTGGGTGAAGATGAGATTTTTGGGTGCCTTAGCAGGTAAAAACCACTGTTTTTAGAGGGTTTGGGCCTCCAAAAGCGCATTCGAAATTCAAGGTGGGTGATTTTGCGCCCACTCATGATATGATTGGTCCACGTTGGGTGCGTGTACAAGTAGCATCATTTCCGCTTCCGACAAATTATCAACAATGCTTATTCCAGATTCTGAATAATTATCTAGATCATATTTGGCTCACGTATGCTTTGTATGGTGTGGATAGGTGTATGTGACGCTTACTTTACTAACTTGCCAAGATTCTTCGAATTGCACTAATACTATGTGTGTACTCTTATGCACGCTCCTCCTAATTTCGCAGGGTTGCAATCATGACGATATATTTGACAAAGTAGCACAAAAGTAACTGAGCAAGCTGCCTTGACTACGCATAGCTGCCAACTTCATTTTCAGACCACCCACTTTAAGTGGCGTGGGAACACTGTCTTAAATCGGGTGGCAATGGAAACGTTTATTATTAGGCTGTTGGGAGGCAACTTGCGGTACACTTGTAAAGCAAGCATCAATCTCTTGATATCCCCTATTACAGGGTTTATGGTGCATGCATTTGCACGCGTTGTAAAACTTCAAAGAATGCCGTCACCAGAATGAGCGTCAACGAAATTGCGGCCAAGACGTCAACTGCCTTGCCGCTCTAGTGCTTGCCCTGCTGGCGCATTTTTGCCGTAACAAGGCAAAAATCTCGTCCCATCTTATTTTTGCCTTTCCTGCTGACTTCTAGGAGGAAGCCTAGGTTGCAGCCTAAAGCTTGCTGCCATTTGGTGTGCGTGATTCTCTCCCGTGGTAGCAGACTGAATTCCCGCCAACTAGATAAAGGAACACGTACTAAGTAAATGCGATTTGACTAGGCAATTGTAAGCCCAATTCTAGTTAGGTTGACTTCACCATATTTAATGAAATTGATGGAAAAATAACATTCTGTGGGACAGTGTTAACAGAGAGCTATAGAGCGTTCCAAGGTGCCGCTACATGATTCCATATGGTATCTTCTGTTTCGTCATCGTTAAGAGATTTTGTAAATGAAGGGGCATTATTTTAGACTGCAAGCGTACCGCCAATTTGCATGTTAAGATCTGTTTAGTCAGACAAATTATGTTGCTAATATCGGTTATCAATCGTTTTCTAGCATGAAAACCGGTCGTTAAAATGCGGAAGATTTAAATCGTATTTAGTGACTATGTCCTACACGATTCAACTCACAGAATCCTGCTATCGATAGTTTGACAGCAAATATTTTATCGAAAAGTATGTCACCAAGCATTATGATGCTACCCCGTATCACAGTGGGTTTATGCTTTCTAAACCAATAAGTACTGTAGAATGAAATTCAAGCAATTAATGAATAATACTGATTGTTTGTCAAACGTGGCCATGCATAAGTTATTAAATCAACAAATGCATTTATGAACTAAGATTTTTGAAAGACTAAATAACTGGTCTATTACATAACTGAAGAAAATACCTATCCAATCGATAAGCATAGCAGAGTACATGTTCATCGAACTTATTTGCAGTTAGTCTGATAACTTGTGCCAGAAAATTTCAGATATTTCGGGAGTCTGAAGTGGACGGTAAAACGGCGTTCAAAATCTACCTCTTCCTTACGCCACAATGTCAATACGACGAGAATGCTCTGGGCGACATAACAATCAACAACACATCAGCAATCGCAATAATGCACGTTGCAGCTGGTAAGTACCTCCGTGCATTGCCTTCTCTACGCATTGTGCTTTGGTTGTGTCCATTTACTCTGTAAATACGCACGAAGGGAAGTGTAAACAAGTAACTCTCAATAGTGGCCGTTGCATTTGTTGTGGAGTCTCTGGAATCTCTAACTTTTCAAGAAATGGCGTGAGAGCATGATTTAATGAGCTTGTGTCCCATTTCAAATCTCCAATGGTCCGCTTCATTTTATCCGAATTCCGTTGAGTCTAAATGGGCGGAGTTGTTCTCGTTGGTTGTTGATCATTGTAACTTTCACCATATCTACTAATTAGATGACCGAATGCAAAATTGTCCATGTAGGCTTACCAATTAGTAAGGGCGTGATGTTGGACTCGAGTCGACTAAATGAGACAGTTGCATTTCTGTTGAAAACTAATTTCCTAGAGAAAGATAACACCACAGACAGTGACGTCTTCACAGTTTATCAAGGTCACAATGACTGTCGCCACTAGTCCCATTTGCTGGTGAATATTTGTGCGTCGCGAAGGTGAACAGTTGAAAATCGGCGTCAATAGTGTGTCACAGGAATGTATTAAAACAGGCTCAGGAGTTACACGGACAAATTAAAACAAGCACAATCAATTATCGATCCTTGGACGAGATCAAGTTATTAGATTTTGATACAACCATTTTATCAGTAACGTAGCTAACGACATAACTTTCGAAAGCTAAGATTCGTCATTGATTAAGAGAGGCAGTATAGGTTGGGGTGGCCTATACTAACAGTCAGAGTTATTTGTACCTTGATGCCACGCTTATGTCTGAACTACATTAACACAAATACTTGTCCCAGGTCAAAGTCATTGCTTATAATTTGGCATTTTGGAAGTGGTTTTGCCAAGAATCTGTTAGGCAAGTACTTATATATGCACATCTTGTTAATCAACCACTACCTCTACTGAAATCGAAACTAGACTGGCCGAGGTTAACCCCACAATCCAGGAAATTCTTTCAATAAGTACAAAACGAATTAATATTTTTTTCCGATTTTTATGTTTGCTGAGGCCATGTAAAGGGAGTAAATAACCCCACTCTAATTATATCGGCTTTTCGTAATAAATTACCATGGTAGACTACGCCTACAAAATGACGAACATGCACCTCAAACGATGCAAAGTGATTCATGTTTACCAAAAGAAGATTTCCTTGGAGCAAGAGTGATTGGGGCGAAATCCTGCGTGCGTAGTACTCTTTGAGACACTAATTGCACAAGACGTAGTAGGACGGAAATTGTGGTACACAGACGACATTACTGCCATGGACGCAAGTTTCGGTGATGCCAAAAAAACAAAAGTATTCAGAATCGCGATGGTTGCGTAGGCAGAAAAAAGATTAGAACACGCCTATAGGCGGAATAAATATCCATCTAGCAGGAAACAAGCAAGTTCAATAGTATAGCTTATTGTCAATGTTGAAATTGCATTCAATTGGTTTTTAATCCTCAATAAAAACACATTTTCAGCTAATAATCAAAGCATAAAATGGGCTACGCTTTAGTAGGTAATGCTACCGATCAAAATTCATTTCGACCTAGGGACCCAAACTCCTTGTTTGGATTAAACTTTTATTAACAGTATATGGTCGATTCTAGCTAGTTAATGTTTCCGTGGCGATCCAGTGTTTCAATAAACATTAAGATAAAATTGGCCGATGATTTAAAACAGGAGTGATAAGAGCCTAGCTAATGGGAATCACGCACGCGGGACTTTTCGTATTTTTAAAAAGTCGAAAAACGCAATAATAGATAAAAAGTAGCAGAATCAAATCCGACTCTATCGGGCCACTGAGAACATTCCTTTCTCAAGTGTTTTTTTTTCGGTTTTTGTAGCCTTAACTTTTTAGAAATAGGTCTTTTTTAACCACATGCTTCCTCAACTGTTTTAGTTAACCCGTATTTTTGTGAAAAAATGACGTGAAGTGTCTAATTTTCTCATTGAATGAGATGGTGCGTGCTACTTGGTGCCCTGAATGAGGCGTCTCTCTTATGGGTATGGCAACCCACAAACATGAGAGGATCCCAGCTTTGTTGACAATGGGAACGCAAAGCATCGTTGCAAAACTACTCCCAAATCAGACAATTCCAAAGAAATTGCGGTAGTGGCTCAGTTTCACTTTAAGGATCGGTCACCTGGCCTAATGTTCCATTAAAATATTCAATTAATGTGAGTGGACCAAAATAGGATTGTCTGCAGAATAAATTGACTCTCACTTATGAGATCCCTGCTTTAATATGGAGAATCTCTGTGCTTTAGCTTCAATATATTTTAAATAAGAGCGCTACAAAACCATTTGGAAGGGAATCGGGTACAAGTGTCGACTTCTTAATTAGAACACTTTACTTAAGCAAATTGAAAAAAGGAAATTTGTTAAAATTTCAACCCTTAAAGAATTACTTGGCATTATGGCTCATTTCAGATGTTGAACGTGAACACTCAATTACAATGAGAATTCCTACAAAAACGACTAAAGGATTGGTAGCTTTCATAAACGTGCAACAAATTCGCTCTTTCCGATGTCGATTTAGCTTACGATACAGAATTACATTACAATTATAAAGGGAATAAATTGTGAATACAGCACAAAAGCTTCGTGGTAAGCCCCCAAGTATGTGTGTTCCAAATTTAAACATGATATAGGGCTCATAAATCTGCTGAAGTACTTTACAAGGCAAGGTCAAATTTCTTAATGTCTTCGACCTCGTGTGGTAAAGAAAACCTCGGGACTATTACAACAAGCCTTCAACTGCTACCAGAAAATGCAAATCGAGGCTTGTATTTTACTGAAACAACCTCTGAACTACCATCAGCATTTAAAATGCTTGAAAGGACCCCGGAAGGATAGTCCCAGTTGGATCGTTATTTAATTTGTTGAAAAATAGGCCCCAAAGACTGGCATATATAGATTCAACTAATGCCTTTCCACAATTTAAACAGTATGACTACACTTAAATTACTATAACAAATGTGTTTAATGTTTCAGACAAGGCGCCGTGTTTGGATTGCGAGCAGAATACCCAGCCGGAAGCAATAAGACCACCGATGTTCCAGCAATTTCGGCACCTCGCAAACAGCATCACAGTAGTTCGGGGCACAACAGCAGCCGCTACGGAACGAAACGCCAAACTGTCCCATTTGATACTAACCCTTTTGGTACATCTCGTTTTACAGTCAGGCCTGTGACTCAAAGATTTGTCCTGTTCCTTTTTTTACTGAAAAGCGCCTTGTCAACGTCCATGGACTATGTCATGCCGCCAAAACCGGAATCGTGGGGGCAAATTCCAATACCCAGAAATTGTTTTTACTTAAAAGATAAAAGTAACCTAATGAGAGACGCCCACTAGGACTGCAGACATGATTTGCATTCGCAGCTAAGTGAATGACTCCCACGTTTGTGTACCGCAACGGCTTCACGGACCATATAACAAATCAGAGCCAAGATATGCGGCTAGGTACGTCAAGCTGGCAATTCATAACTATGATTTTGACTCCGAACATGCATTTATCAAAAGGTGAACTTACAACCACGTTGATCTGGATCAAATTGTTATAGGTGATCATTACACAGATAATAGTTCGAACTTCGAGCACAGTACCACGAATGAAGACACCCAAAGCCTAATGCAAGATTGTGGATCACGAGGGTACACCAGAACACTTTAAAAGGTACTGAAAGACGTTAAAAAGCATCACAAAATAAGAATCGTGTGGACCAACAAAACCACCCATACTGAAATCCAGCATTCCTCCCTCGTTAGTGCATTGAACATGCTTGAAGAGGTTTGATTGCTAAACCGAACCTAAGGTACAAGTAAAGCAATAGGTCTACACGAATGTACTTCGTGATATATAGAACTACCTCGCTCTTCCCCATCAAATCGCCCGAGTATTAATAATGATGCCACTTGAATGTGCTCTAGGACCACAAAACAACACATCGTTGCTGTTTCCGGAGGAAGCACCCACAACAGCGTTGGAACTGTCAAAGCACATAAAATTTAATTTTCCAGTGTTACGCCGATTGTTAGAATTTAGGACCACTGCCCGCATCCATTATCAAACTTTGGCAGACATGTAACGGCGCACATTTAAATGAATGGTTGATTACAGAGCTAAACAAATAATACAAGTGAGCACGTGTAACATGCGTGAGTTATAAACGGTGATTTTAATTCTGTTAGCAAAACGCGCTTTGTACACAAGCGAGAGAAGTCACCTGCTCATGAAATAGCCCAAACAATGCACTAGGGGTTCGCCTCAGACTTACAAAACCAGCAATCCAATTTAAAGCTCAGAACATAATCAATGCATAAACAACATTTTGGACCTAACGCTGATACCAACGCCATATATAAAATATGCAGGAACAAAACATTTAAGAGGGTCAACAAACATTATTGAGTTAATTTAAATTTACTGTAAATATTATACGATTACACACAAGTGATAATGACCTGAGAAAGAATAAGGAAGCATGAGAAAAAAGTGCTTGTGTCGGTAAGTCACGCGCTGTAGTTCAGTGATGTGCTTCAATGTAAGCCTTCCTCTTTGTTTTTGCATTTTCCTTGTTAGCCCAACGTATAATCAAGAAGGTGCACAGAAATGCTAAACAGGAATAAGACAACGTGAATAAATGTCGACATACGGGTTGTAACCACAAGAAATTTCTCCCTGAAGCGCCTTACAAGGTTCGGAAACCCATTTGTGAAAAAACCTTTAAAAGCATTAACCTCATACGGAGATATGCTGTAGGTTATGACACCGCGCCTATAGTGCAATTCACCAAACTTCATCTTTCAAAAATGTGTCTTCCGTTTCGATGACTCAAACAATTTTGATGCTCACGTCAAACGACTTATTTTTAAATTGATAATAATTAAAGCATTAACAAATTTTATTTTGCTATTTAAAAATTTTGTACAATTAAAAGAAATTCTACTCGACAATCTAAACAGTAAACAAAGTGTATTTGATATCCGAATATGTGCAAAATTTCTCAAACTCCATAATGAATTATAGCGGTCTAATTTGGCATTTTCAAGTTAGTACTGCATGCAGTTGTCCGAATTTGCATCTATCATTAACTGAGATTATCTTTTTATTTTTACCACTTTTGTGGCAACTTTGGTGAACCTCATTTGATACCGTCGGTTATTCCTGGAGTAAATTTCAATTCATTTAGTCTTTACAAAACGTTCTGTTCCTTTTCGTTATTTACTTTCCTTGTTTTAACAATTAAAAAATTATTGCAGCATGTATTGATTCAACAGTGAACGTACGTACAACTTGAAGAGATTACTGTAGTATGTTTTGACACCCGAGTATTTATTGGCAGTCAATAGGAAGAACTCAAAATATTACTGAGTCTGGAAAATATAGACCTTTCTGGACGCATTGCTTTTTCCAATAAGTACATCTTTTCGCAACAACGTGGACGGAATATGCTAGCAATTTGTTGGTAAATCGATAAAATATTTACCAATGCCTAAGTGAGCTTTTGCGAGTGGTGAGGTCTTTATAAAGTTTATGTTGTGTAGCAAAGGATATCATCTTCAATACAGGAAACTTAATGAAGGTAAAAACAATTTACATGAATAGTCACGTTCACAGTCCCAAGCTTACAACCTACAGCGAGTTCATAAATTATTATTCACATAGTTTGACGTCTAATTGTCAAGTGACACCTTAACATCTGCCTTTAATCTGACAAAAAAACAAATCCTCCCACCTAAAATCTTGGTTTTTTACGTTCAATACAACGCATTTTGGAAATAGTTTTGCTCTTCCCATTTCAAATTGGTTCAGAAAATTCGAGCGACCTGATGATCAAATTCCTATTGCTGCATATTACAGGAGTCTACACTAAACTGATCGAGATATCGTTGTAATGCTCAGGCATCAGCACTTAGACAAAACGTTCTCCTTTTGTACAGTCATATGCGTTAGTATCGAAAGCATCATAAAGAGGGAACATATGAACTCGTCCATACATCATACTCACGACTGTGTAATAAATTGTCGGTTGACTTGAATGAATCTAGACTTATCTGAACCGGCTTATCTTAGAGTAATTTGAACATGTTACTCACCCAGGACTCACGTTTACATCTCTGCTTGCCTAGGCGATAATGTGGGTAAACTATCAGTACCAGAATGTGGAAAAATCACTGTAAGTGGAAGGAACATCCAACTGAAGGTGCAGAAACAACTTTATCGACTTGGGATACAGAATAATATTCCTGTAGCTGTTTAGTAGACGATAATCCACTCAAAGCAGAACAATGCAACTCAAAAGTACGACAAACACACCACTAGATTTTATCAATTGTCTGATTGTTTTTTTTTTGACTAGTTTGTTACCGGCCGAAAATTCGGAGGTGCTTGAACTGGCGGAAGAATTTTAGGACCCTTTTCACTTAGACATCGGATTTCTGCAGTCAATCTGTTTATCTCTTCAGCTTGAGATTGCACTACCTTGATGCGACTCGTTAGTTCTTTGTTTTCTTTGATAACTCCTTCAGACACCGGTTTATTCTAAAACAGAAGAGATATTTGCAAAATCAACATTGATTTTAAGGATCGATAAAGAAAACTATTAGACAGAGAGGTTGACTATATCAGGTTAGCCCTACAGTGTCAGATGGTTCAATCTTATCAAACAGATTCCATTGCTTGCGTAGAGTCACGTTAAATTTAAACCTATTTCAATTATTAATTCATTTAAAAAAAATTGAAAAGATGACGTAGATACGTGTAAGTGACTGTTAAAATGTTAATGCAAAAATCTGAGCCAAGTGTAAATTCAGGTCATTTTGAGCAGCTAGGAAAGTTGAACCATTAGTCGTTTTTTGAAGACTTTGAAATTCGTGGTGATCTGATGTGTGAAATCAGCGCTCTGTGGGGATGCAAAGTTACATTAAACTATGGCTCAATATCTTAGCAGGAGTTACCGAATTTATGCAAATTCGTGTGTTATCAAAGTGTAGCAATATTTGCCCACAATTAGCCACTTCTAGATGTCTTTCTGTGATTAGGTCTTGTTCAAATTTCATGAGTTAATTTAAACAAGCATCTAATATGGCTTAGAAAACAAAAAAATAAACCGAATTAGTATTAACTCGACGGCATGATTTATTGGGTTTTTTTAACTAGCCCCAATTTACATTGCTTAATTTTGAACTGTTGCATTTGCTAAAGTTAATCTCTTTCAAATCGCGATTGCTTTAATTTGGAACTCTGATTTGGACATCGGCAAATTTAATAGGTCAACCAGAAAGCTGGTCCGCTTTAAGTACAAAATCTTCACAATAAAATAGTTTACAGCATTGTCTTTACAGGTTTTTTGTGAACTTTTTAAGTTTTTGTGAAATGTGTCAGTTATAATACATTCCAAGTCCAATGAAATGGTAGATCCGAAAACAAACCGCTTTCTTCTCGAGTTCATATTTAAATGTGGGACCACACTGAATAGCTCAATGAAGTCTGCTATGTTTGGTTCTTCTCAACTAAACATTGGACGGTTAGAAGTTAATCAATAAAATAAAACAAGTAAAATAACTAATCTACCGGATGTTTTCTATGAGCTTCCATGGAACTGAAGTACGCCTGAAGTTCGTTAAACACCATGAGAGTCTTAGCAACAATGCGGGTGTTTTCGCGCATTTGGACTATGTACTTGTCCCTCGCCTCACGAAGTCTTTCCTCAGCGGCATTTTCTTCGCGTTGAATTCGCGCTTGCAATGCCAGAACCCGACAGCTTATCTCTTCAATCTTCGGGTTAATTGAGATAGTCTCCAGCTTCTCGATGTTCTCCAGGCGTCCGAATTTGTCAATCATCACGAGGTCGCACTTGATGGCCATTTTTTGCAGTTTATCCTGCCCAAAAAAATGCGAGAAAAAGCACGTAAAGTGGTATCGACATAGGCGACAATTCAAACAGACCAATTTGTGAGTGGTTGGATTAGTCACTGTCATTTGTAGCAGATTAGTACCAAATCATTTCTAGGGTTTCAACGTGGCTCAGTAACAACTTAATGTCTCTCTAGACAAAAATTCAACATGAAAATATGGGCAGAATTGTACCGACTTTTAAGCGATGATTTTTTTTTCAAATTAAACATTCAAGCTGTGGGCATATTTTAAGACCGTTTCACTTTTGATTAAATTACCTCCAACTCAGGGTATTGTGGGTGAAGACACTTGCTACCTGAAATTTCTAATCATGCTTAAAAGGAACTGTCACCATTTCGAAATCTTATAAATAAATAAGTATTTAGTAATTTGTCAATTTTAAATCCACAGGAATCAATGATTTCTTGCTGCTGGGGATTTATCATCTACAGGACTATGTCATTTAAGCCTTTGTCAATTTTCGATTTTTTTTCATTATCATTCGTGTTCACGCACACCATTATTTCGCATTCATATCGGCCGCCCTTTTCCTATTGGCCTATTCACCTTTGTGCACACTGTTTCTCTTACTAACACAAATAAGCCAATTTAAGCCCACTGCAATAGGTCATGTCACGTGCTAGCGTCGGGAGCCCGACTCAGTGCTTTTTCTGACTGCTCACTTGGAGAAGCCTGTAGTGGATTGACGGCCACCCCGCGTGAGTGTGCGTGCATTGGGGGTCCGAGTGGACCAATGACTCACCCCTTTTGTTATTGGCCCTTGTCAGCGTTCGCCTGCTAAGAACGCGTACTCATACGCACACAAGGCCACTTGGCTGGTTTGACACTAATGAACTGTCGTCTTCTCTGTCGCCGTTTTTCTTCCTATTCTCGGGTAGTTACAGGATGTTAACTAGAGGGTTGTAAGGTAGTGCTAAGACCTTAGCCACTACAAGCCTTTGGGTTACCGACCAGGTCTTTCGACTATTTTGGCCCTAGGTTTTGCGAGACATATTTTCCCATAGAATACAATGAATTGCTTCGTAGCCTCTGCAACATCTGAAGGGAAACGAAGAAGCCAAGTACCTGGAATACGCGCTTGTGCCGTTGAAGCATCAGGTGTTTTTCTTTAGCTTGTTTCTTCTCCTTCCGTTGAATTCGTTTCTCGTCCTCCAGAGCCTGAATACGGCGTTTAAGTAGTGCCACATTTTCGCGTTTAAAAATAAGGACCGGCGAGAAGTCGGCTGGAAGGGCCTTATCCTGGAAGAATGTAATCTGGTCCAAACGCAGGGTGACCGCACGTTCGAGAACGTTAAGCTTCCGCTGCTTTTCCAGCTACAAGAGTACAAAAAATCGAGTAGAGTACCACGAAACACTCCAAAACGCATTGAACACGTTTGACGGAGTCTGTCCTAGTTTGGGAGATATTAGAGGAGTCGGATCTAATCAATATGGAATGCGAATGGCTCATTTAAGGAAGTCTTTTACACCTACTTGGAAAGCCTTTAGATCAGAAGCTGCCTGCTCAAGGGCCAGATGTGCCGCCCGTGACTTCTTTGTCAGTGTTTCCGCATCCTTATGTTGGATTTCGAGGAGCCTTCGCTGCTCAGCAATCTCATCTTCCACATCAAGGCGTTGATCACGAAAAGCGACTGTCGTGTCGTAGTCCACCTGTTCACAGTCGGGTGGGCACATATCCAGATCAAGCATGTCATCATCCTCCTCCTCTTCGTCCGACTCGTTCCACTCGGAGTCCTCCGAGGACGAAGAACTCTCCGAATCCTCACCTTTCCACAAACAGGGGTCAACTCAAATTAATATCCCTTTAAGTCGCTAAATATTCTGGTTTTTTCCACTTTTCAGCATTAAGCGCTGTTTTTATTATGATCTACCAAACCTCACCTTCTTATTTATTCAAAACCAAGGCCAAATACTTTAGTAAGCACTATTTTTTCCACGGCTCACGTTGCTTCAATTCACATCTATTTCTACAAATAATCTGTGCGTCTTATGTGATTAAAGTAATCGCATTTATTAAACCGTCAAACGTTGACAGTAAAGCAACCAACTGCGGTAGCACAACATCGTTTATAAGTAAGAAGTACCCGACTTATCGTACAGGTTTGGTTCGAGTGAGGTTATCTTAATAACAGCGTCAGGACGTAATCGGACCCCAACATTCAGCTACCTCGTATTGAATGAGAAAGACTTCGAGCGGAAAAAGACAAAAATTAAAAACTTATAACTATGAAAACACGGTATCAACTGGATGAGTGGTCAGAGGACGTTTAAGCAGAAGTCCGTCCAAACGCATTCGCACCCATTTCATTGGTCTTCGTTCACAAGCACTTTAAAACATGCTCACATACACGCACGCACAAACGCACGCACGCTATAACAAATCGTGTCAGGCAAGCGAATAAACAGTTGTGTCCGTTTTTTTATGACACTCTTATTTACTACTTTGTCTCCAGGTCCAATAGACGCCAACAACCACTAGGATTCTGGTCCACGCCTGTGGATATTTCGCATCTTAGTCGCACACAATCTGACGACTGAAAAACCTGCATTGAAGCAAAGTGAAAAGCGTACCTCCTTCGGTGGTACGTTTGACTTTTCTCTTAATCTTCTTTTTGTACACCTTGTGAAGGAAATCATTCCACTTGTGGTTGTCACCCAGGTAATTCTTGAAGTTCTCAAAAATCTCATTTTCCCGTTCTGTGAGTCGTTCGATTTGCACCAGAGTCTCCTCAATTTCCAGCTCCGTCTCAGCTACCTTCAATGGGAAAAAATGCCACTACGAGCTTGTGAACGAAAACGATTGGGCGAGTAAATCCCTATTCTTAAAACCGCTATCTAATAGATTGCCAGTTAAACGAGCAGAACAGCCAATCAGAGGTTGCATATTTCAAGGTTTTCGCTTATGCCACTTGAAACTACTTTTGTTGTTCACAATTGAGTGTAAAGATTTTGATTGAATTTACTTAAGTAAAATCGGTATACATGAGCAGCTACACTTATTTTGCTGGACTTTCAGCACCGACAGCTCACAGAAGGCAGTAATGCCGTTCGCGGATGCAAAATTATCATTCTTCTTAATGGTTATTGTAAGGATGGGTTTATACCTGTGTGGAGGTCACCAGAAGTCTCATATTCTAAACAAAAGTGGTGGTACTAGAGTGTTTGTTACATATAACTGATTCGAGAAAAAAAAACACTACACCTTCTGGTCGACTTCGGCCCTTTCAGTAATTTTCTTCTCGTAATTGGCAGCCAGGCCTCTTTCGGACTTTTCGAATTCCTTCAGCATTGTGTACTCCTCGTACAGGATCAGTAGATTTAATGTTGCTCTTTTCATTAGCAAGTCAAGGTTGACTTTCTGGTGACTTAGCGTGCGCAATTCCATGTTGAAGCACCGGATCAGAGTGCCAGCTTCGGTAAGCAAGTACTGCTGCTTAAACAAGGCCTTCTCGTACTTCACCTTCCGGCGGTCCAGATCCCGGTAAAAGTGCTCATCCTCCTCAGACCCCTGGGACTCCGTTTTCGTAAATAGCTTTCCTCGATCTTCGCCTTCAGTTGCGGTGCGTTCGCCATCTCTTGACAGCGAGGTGACATTGCGGTAGGTACTTTCAAACGCTTCCAGAGACTGTTTAGAGTCTTGCGTTTCAAGAGGATTAACCTCTTTGTCAGGATGCAGTGGTTGTCTAGTATTCAGCACGCGAGTTGTAGGATCCATGATTATTTTTTCTGGGTCCATGGAGAAGACAGACATGCCGACAACGTCTGGGTCGTGACGGAATGGGAGATGTAGAGTGTAGAAACTCTGCGGCTTGACTAGAGTTTTCATCGTAACAAAAAGGACCTGACGCCCTTCATGCATCACCACGGTCATTCCAAGTGAACGGTCATCAAGATTGTGACTTGAACTTATTCGACTGCCTGTCTAAAAATGCTGGCTATTTCTATGAATCAAAAGGAATACCTTATTTTTTGAGGAAGCAGGCTGATCTTCAGATGCGTTCCCCTTGAAGCGTTCTAGCTTCTGATCTGTTATTTCATATGCCCTGAGAAAGGTAGGACTAACAACCGATGCACCTAAATGACTCACCTTTCCGGATACTCTTCATCATCAAGATTGTCAACTTTTAAACGGATAACAATCCCATCCGGTGGAAGATCCACTGTTAGTTGTTTCAGTGTTTGATCAATGCCATTTAACTCCTTGATGATGGCTGCTTTCTTATTACGTAGTTTCAGAAGTCGTTGGTTGAAGCTCTCCTGTCTTTCTGAAATCTAATAAGCAAGATATAGGTTATTGGTCACATTAAAACCAGTAATTTAACCAGACATTAAACCTTTCATGAGTAGTGTTGACTCTCAGTTAAAATTAATAGAGTCATACCTGAGTCATAGCCTCAAGTAGGGCAAGTCTTGATTGCTTGGCCGTGCGTTTCTTGGATTCTGGCGCCGTGTAGTTAGAAGCGGACTTGAGTTTGAAATCACCCATGTTGTTTTTCACGTATTCAATAGCCGCCACGTCATTTGGATCTTCCCACTTCTCTGTTGGTTTCATTGCATACAATGCTTCCCACTAAATGGTGGTGGTTGATTACCTTTTAGGACTCATATAAAATACTAAATTTAGTGTTTCTTGTTATCATTGTATTTAAATACCTTCAGTAAGATAAAGTAAATAAAAAACCGGAAAAAGGTAAGTCACCCTTGTCTTTTGGCTCAGCATCGTCCGCTGCGATACATTTTAAAGGTTAACTACCTGTTGGCGACGCTTTTCTCGTTTAATCCGCGCAGCTTCCATAAACTGTAATTGTCGTGCCAAACGGAGACCTCTGGCACCCTTTATCTTCTGCACAAGTGACGTCTCCACGGTGCTCGTTGAACGCATAACGGTCGCTCGAGTCTGCGATTTGTCTAAGGAATATACAAGTGAACTTAGCAACTCCACTGGGAAAGAGGGCCTCTTGTACCGACATTGTTAAATGACCCGGAGAAATACCACCTGACTCAGTGTAAATGAAACCTGCTATTCGGCTCTCTTTCTAAATACCACAAAAGAAAATATTTTGAGTTCTTTTGATGACTTGTGCATCCAGACATTGGACGTTGACCGATTTCCGAGACTTTGACCATTAACAACTCCGCGTTCAGTGACCCAAAAACCCCATGGGTCTGAGTGAAGTAGTATTGTGGTTTGGAACCCATTTACAAATATGATTTTACAGTTTCCTAAGTAAACTCACCCTGTACAGTGGTTTTGCGGTTATCCCGTGATTCGGCCTCTTCTTCTAGCTTAGCCTCTTCTCTCAAGCGTTGTAGCAGCTCAAAGTGTTCAGGAGGGAGTTTATTCTTTCGAATTGAGCTGACCCAGTCCGGTGCGCCGAATGCCTTCAGCACAATAAAATCGCAGGAAACAGACTTCCTGAATCTGAAAAAAAGCAATCCGAGAGTATTGCTAGAACTCCGTCATAGCAGATTGCGTTTATTCTACCTTTTGCAACCAAAGGGTTTTCATTGGTTCAAGGGGAAATGGCATTTCTCTTGAGTGCAAAAACTAAGACAAATCAAATTATGGAAAGCGAACAAAGCTGTCTACATGAAATCCTAATAATCTTGCTTGGAAATTAATTGGGGAATAAGTACGGCAGTTTATTGTTGATTATTCTAAAATGGCATGATGATTGCCTACCTATCGACCAACTTCTGAAGGGCAATTGACCGACGACGACTTTCAAATGCAACTTTCTTGTCGAAGATCTCGATTTGTTTTTTCCTCTGATTCATCAGTTGCTCCCTCAAGAATGGAAGCATTTCATACTCCTTAAAATGGATATGAAGGCATAAGCCAGTGGAACAAAACGTGAGGATAAGCCTTCAAAAGGTAAGCGCTTAGTACCCGAGTGTTGACGCGCATGTGAGCAGGCAGCCTCTCATTTTGATCCTTTAGTTTTTTGAAGCGGAGTCGCAATTCAGCAAGTTGGCGTCTGGTCTCTCGTCGCTTCTCTTCGCCAGCCTCAACCAGTTTATCCCGTTCCGCTTTCCTCCTGGCCTGCTCGATGCTAAACTCATTGCTGTCACGAATATCCTCTTCTTCTATTGGTTCATGCTAAAATGTGAATGCACTAAATTTGTGCATGTAGACTTTTACAATTCCATGTGCTCAACGAAATGGAGATTTTCTAGTTCATTACTTGCCACTAAAAGTGTATTTCACCTTCTAAACAAGATCATGGCAGGGATTGACTCAAATTCATCTTAAAATCGCTAATTGACAACTTTGACTAATTCCGGAGAAGGACCTTGGGTAACTGATTTAACATGATATTTGGTTGTAATATTTCCACAAACAGAACAAAGTAAAAGCTTGGAATAAGTAATTTGAACTCGTGATGATAAGGACTACTTACAACCGAAGAAGGAAGTCTAGTGAGCAGCTTCGAAACCTCAATTTCTTGGGCCGATTCGGACATCAGTTCTAAAACAAAGAACGTCCCGTCGCCTCCAACCGCTATAACGAAGCTAAAAGACAGCAGAAAAAGAAATTTATTTTCAAAACTATTCAATATAAGTGTCACGTACCACAAATCGCATTACAATTCTAGTGTTTCCAGGCCTTCGACAACTGATCGGAGTTGAGAGGATGTTACCCGCTAATGAAACCCCAAACTAGTGGTTTTTGACAGGGTGCCTTGCTGGAGATGTTAGTATGCCCCAAGATATGTATTCTCGTGAATTCGAGCCTGCTAGTTTTTCGTATTTCGCACAATTGTTTTGCCTACTTCTTCATTACTGTCATGACATTTAATTGTCACACATTCTACGGCACACTAACAGCTTGCATTAGAAAAACTTCACCAGCTCGAGGTCACAAACGGGGGAAAAAGAGTTCACTGTGGCCATGTCTTTTCTTGCGCCAGACAGGAAACTTGTGCACTGGCAACATGGCAAAGCAACAAACACAAAGGGTGATTACTGTGTTGTAGAACATTTGAATTTGAAATGCTCGTAATCCTTATCAGCGTTATACACCAGTCATGAATCAGGGGAACGGGTACATTCATATAGGCAGTCATTTCGGTCATCTAAAATTGTTAATGTGGCATAAAAAAGCATGAATAAAGGAAGAATCTCCTCCTTTTTAAACTGCAATGAAATCAGCCCTAGATGTGTTAGTCTAGTTTGGCTGATTCTATTAAAAAAAATTGCATAAATTTCCCTTCAAATTGGAGTTTGTTGGGGATTCAGCATCTTTCAAGATTTTCACTATCATTCACGTTTATGCACGCCAACATTTGTACTCTTATCGGACTTCGCATTGGACTTTTCACCCTGATTGTACTTTTACTCCGACGTCCACGTCTTTCTCCACGAGGTCATGTCTTGCATTAGCTTGTTGAGGCGCTGACTCATGTTTTTTGTGGGGAGCTTATCAAGTGCTAAAAAGGCGTTCGATTATCTGAGCTCGGGGTTTTACGTCTGTGTACCGGGCACCGTAACGGATGTTGGTCAAATTCACCCATCTTTCACCTTGTCTACTGGTCTATTTTGGTATACTAAAATTAGACTACTTCTGTCGAGAGGACATGACATTGTACAGCAGTTCACGTGTAGTATTCAGTGGTGGTGGAACAATAAAACGCATTTGATATAGTGTATTCAGTAATTTACTGTTTTCTCATACACTTTACCGTTGTTAATTCAATCCTTAAAACATTATGATGACAGTTTTGTTATGTAAATGCGCTGGCGGACATAAAAATCTTAAATCAAAGCATGTTAGCCTGATGAAATCAGCAATTTTCCCTTCTTACGGGTTACTTAGAATGTATGTCAAGTACCTGTCATCAAAGGTGAGTCGAATCTTATTGACTGGCCCTCGATTATTATCCTGAAAGGCGTATGTCCAGTAGGCGTCCAAACTTCCGAAATCAAAAGCCTTATTGAGCATCTGGACGCGAACGAAGCCGTTCTCGAAGCCCATGAGAACTCGTTTGCCGGTGACACTGAATTTCCACGAAAGCAATGGCGAGTCGTTGCAGTCACGGATCCTGGAAGACTGTACCGGTTTCATCGATTGGACTCGATCAAGAACTGCTTCCAGGTCGGTGATCTCGCGCTCTTCGGTGGACCCTTTCTCCACTTGACGTGGAGAATTTTCTGGAGCGTCCAACAAAGGCATGAGGCTGCACTTGTAGATGTAGCCTGCGTCGAAATCGCCCTTGAAGAACGGTAACATGGAACTCTCATAGCGATGGCATACAATGACGGGTTTTGTAGAGTGATCTTGTCTTTCAATACAAGCTCACTGACGATTCCAAGATTCTTTATTACTTAATCGCGAATACCTTAAGAAGTGACCTTTAGAAAGGAAATAAACTAACCAAATTTATCCACAAGAGGCTTGGATCGTCGTGACAAACAAAGCCATCAAGAACAGGGGAGGGTACTTCCGGTACAACTGGTCGCAGAGCTGCTAGCTCATCCTCCAACTTCGCATGCAGTTTTCTCTCATCTAAAAAAAGTCACGAATTGTTTTGGTACACTTAGATGAGTCAACAAAGGCGTGGAATCGGCGGACGTACCATCAGCGGCTCTCATGAAGTCCTCCTCCGTAATCTGGCCCTGTTGAAGCAGTTTGGTCAGATCTTCTTCTCTCTTCTTCTTGGCCTCTTCATACGCGGCCCGACGGTAGACGTTTTGCTCGATCACCCTCAGTTGTCCAGCCACACTTTCCATTCGAAAGCCTCGCAACGCGACCGCATCAGTTATCTCAAATGTCCCCTTCTCAGCCGCCTTCCGATTTGGTATTGAAACCTTTGAGAAGCGGATAATCGGGTGGATGGGTGATTAGGAAACTTGTCTAAACACCTACATTGCTACTGGTGATATTTGAGCGTCGGTTCGGTTAACGGAGTATTTCAAAACTGATATAAGTTGCGTGTTAATTCATTTTGGAAAATCAGACGAAATTGCTAAAATTCATGTTGCCTTTAACGTGGAAGCTAGGGTTTCGCATAAAACTATTAAAATCAGCAGTTAATAAACAGAAATTTAATGGATGTACACTACAAATTCTCAGATCTATCGGGAAATTAACGTTATTTCATAAATGACGGAAGAATTTAAACTAAGGTTTTGTGAATGCGGTGAGTTCTTTCTTCATTCGACTGAAATTATAGGAGTTTTTCACATGATTGACGGCTTGATTTAAGGTATGTTTAATTAAACCTGGGAAGATTAATAATGTGCTTGAACTAATGACGACTTAGTTAAGGTGACTGCTCCAAATTAGTACTCAAATATACATCCCTACGTTCTACACAACTGATTAGTTGTAACTGCAGCTTGACAATGACAACAGCTAGACCCGAAAATATTCAGGGAAAAGCAATGGAAGGAAACTGAGTAAAGGAGAACCACTTGTTGGTAGATTATGTCCTAAACAGAGCAGGCGCCTTAACGCAAAAGCATTCCATAGCACTGTTGTAAAAAGGGCTACCTCGATTACACAGCTATTGTCCAGGTAGAGCAGAAGTGTTGGCTCAGGTGTTTGCGAGTTCCCGTAGTGCCACTGGACCTTGTTTGCGTTTGCTGGCAGCCGCACAAATCCGTTTGCCTTGATCCGAGGTCCGTGAGCGTGGAAAAGGAAGAGTGTCCTATCTGAGCTCTGAAATGTTCAACACACCAATCAAGCACTCAATAATAAAAGTTGCAAATTTTGCACAATAATGACAGCTATTTGAAAACATGGGGGACAACTTTTGTGTACAAGTTATCAAGTGTATAATAACGATGAAATTGTATTAGCAAATGCCCAGTGAGCGTGGAGTTCACAAGAAATATTTACAAAAATAAACCTTCCTGTACATAACCTTTATCTGTCGATTTTCGGTCTTGAATATCGGTTACTCATTAAACGATCCAGTCAGGAAAGTATCATTTAATTCATTCAATACTAACTAATAGCTTTCAAATAATAACAGATTTATGAGCCAAAACACGAAAACATTAATTCACGTTAAGTAGCTCTGCAGTGTTCTGAAACCAGCTACCGGGAATAAATGGCCTCAAACTGTACTCCTAAGTTTATGCTAGTCCTCCTTTAACATTTTTAAGTGGATACGATTTTGTAAATCTCTACTTATTGCAAATGTGCTTGTAATGGCAAACGCTGTACGCACGGCATATGGCCTAGCATATGTTCTTTTTGGGAAAGCCCGTTTTTCATTGGTTTTAATGGAGCTATGTTGAGGCAAGAACACGTGATTTTGAATCACACGCTGTGCCGTCCGCTCACCGACGGTATGGGCCATGTGTAATGCCGGTCAAAACAGGCTGGGCAAACCAATTACAGTACAACTGACTGAGTGGCCAAACGATTCGAGTTTTCTGCTACGCTCACAACCACGGAGACAGATGTACTTTCGGTAAAGTTTTGGGTTATAACAAGGTCGATGGGGCCTGCTACGAGGATTATAATTTATGCGTCTTCCATCGCTCGGATCAATGTGTGTGTCTGACCAAGCGGTGCTCTATCAAATATTCGCCTAATTGATATTCATCAGATAGGCCACGTGGAGACTACAGTTATCCTAGGGCGCTTTTCCTTTTGATATGACACTTAATCCAAATGGTTTGCTTATCAACGTCGCTTGAATCACCTTGAGAAACAAAAAAACGTTTAGCCATCTTTCTGGTGTGAAAATGGAGGATGCCATTGTGACAAACAAGATAGAAGCCAAAAGAGATTATACTCACAGAGGTGACAAACAGTTTGCCACTTTTGTCATAGTCCATTGACAGGATGGCAGCAGTGTGCGGTTTCAGTACCTGAATGAGTTCAATGCTAACCACATGAGTTGGCTTCTGGCGGTACTCGTCAATAACGCTTTCGGAGCCGATTTGAAGCACACGGACCACGCCATCTGCGAAGCCGGCGACAATCGTCTTGCCTTTGGGGTCCACCTAAACACACGAGAGGGTCTGCATGAAGACTACCACGCACAGCGCAATAGGCAGTTTGCATTAAAGAAACCAACTTGTGCGGGTGCCCACAGTAGGCAGGTTCCACTGGCGCTGAATCGTTTCACTGCAAGCACTTCTTTCTTTGGCAAATCACACAGGCGGACGGTACCTACCAAATGGAAGGAATCGCAGGTCACAATTCGACATATACATCGAAAAAAAGGTGTCTTTGTGGTGAATTACCATCAGAACCAAGAGTTGCAGCTAAATATGAGGTGGGGGAGACGACGCAGTCCACTATGGGACCAGCATGATAGGGCAAAATCAGTTCCGGTCCTGCCGAAGTGTGAGAGAAGCTTAGATCCAATTTCCAAATCCCCTCGTTGGCATCCTTTAACAGAATGGAATGAATTCACCTCACCTCAAACCGAACTACATTCTCTCAAGAATTGTACTTCTTGCAGTGGTTAGGTAGAAAAATTCAACCGATTGTTTAATGAAGTGGGGTTTCACAAACTTGTAGAATGACTACTTATAGCAATAGCTGTAGACTGCAATACTCCCTTAATAGTAAAGCCTGACGGAACTGCGCAAATATCGTTAATTGTATCACCTTTGTAACAATAGTTCATGTACTACAGATTGTATTTTATTGGTTATTGAGTAGTTGGTGTTTACAGACATTAAAACATGTGAACAGAATGTGTTAATTCGAGAATTCGCTCACCATACAGTACCAAAATATTTTTCCTTCATTGTCCACTTTTTTCATTGACATGAGTTTGGCGTGTGGTGACACCTGGAGCTCGTTCATTGGTTCCAACTGCAGGACCACACCCTCTTCCAGGGCTTCGGCTTGATCAATCGCCTCGAATTCCCACGTCTAAGAAATTTATTCTACTAATTAACCATTAGCAGAGGATTCTACTTGCTTTCACTTTACGACATACAATGCGCGTTAGGCAAATCGGCACAACAAGGAGTTGAATATAGACTTAAACATAATTTACAAAGCCATACAAAATGCATGAAATGTCTGAGGCCTTCAACTACCATTCGATTAATTGACGAGCAGATTAGGTGACTGAAAATGAAATTAACTCGAATTTATTTCAATAGGCTTGTCTTTTCGAAAAATGAAGTCACAGAATCCATATTATAACCGGTTTACATTCACGAGAATGGGCATGATGTCAGTAAAGCTAGACTACACATCCAAATGACAGCGTGACATGTCCTTTGTAACGTGGAAGTCAAAAGTTGGAAAATGCTTATGCAACATTCCTATTTACAGTTTTCAAACATTGTCTCGCCTCAAATTATCAACGCATGGTTAAATGGGGGTTACGATTGATTTACTTACCCTTACATATCCATCAGTTCCAATAGTGACTAATTCACCTTCGTCAATAAGTATCTGCATGATGAAGCCTTCGTGACAAGGTGCGCCATCCTTCCGACCGATCTGAACCTTTATCAGATCACCTTCCCAGAGTAGGAGGTTGCCCCATTCCGAACCCGTAAGGACCTTTCCATCAGGAAGGATTACAAAGCCTTCAATGTCAGAGAGCTCCACTTTTCCGAATTTTCCTATGCTTCCTTGCAACTTCAGTCCGGTAAATGTGCTTGCCATCTTCCAGAATTTAATGTGCCCTAGCCCAGCAGTTGTCAGAACACCCTTCAAATCGTCAGACCAACGAACAGAATAGATCTCCTGAGAGAAAGCTTTGTTTCGCAGAACTATTTGCTCCTCACGCCAGTCCCACAAAGTCAACATGAAATCAGGCTTGTCACCCACCGTGGCGATTAGGGACCCGTCAGGTCTAAACAGGTACAGTACTTCTTTACAGTCGGTAATGAGGAATGGCGCAAGATTAATAGTTCCAAATGAGCCCGTTTGAAACGGAAATGATAAACCCAAGACTTGAAGATTTTATTTGCATAGCTTTAGGACTAAATTGCCTGTCAATAAAAAGTACCCATTGGTTTCGAGGGAATTTATGAGTTGCATTCCATTAAAATGTATCATTTAAGGCAGAGCTTGACATTTGAGACATAATTCGAACGGACAATCATCAACAGTACGGTTTACTCAAACAAAACGCAAAATACGAGTGGCCTGAGTCAATTTACAAAGTGAGTGCACTTAATAGTAAGTGAGTTTATGACCACCAATTGCTGCTTCAAGTAAAGAAAGCGTTACGTACGTAAAGTGACATGAAGAGTACGCTGTTTGTGTGCCTTCACGCAGTATGCGAAACAGCTTCAAGGAAGGATATTCATAGATGCAAACATTTGGCACATCACCCTTTTCAGCAATAGCGATATGTGTAGCATCTGGGTGAATGTCGACAGAACCGATACCATAACCGCTTGTACATCGAAGGTAATCCCTTTCACCGGTAACCACATTCAAAATCTGAAAGTAATTACCAATCACGTAACCGATCGTATCCTTGTCAATGAGCTTCAAATTGTCTCGACGAAAGGTGTCACAGCCAAACGAGTGATAAAGTTGCACAAGATTCTCTGGCAATCCACTACCTTCGTGAATGTGCGGTTTTGTGATTTTCTCTTCCACTTCATAATAAAAGTCGTCAGGAATATGATGAACTATTTCAATCTCCTCTTCCTCCTCGCCTTCCATTTCTTCTCCTTCACCTTCTAATTCCATCTCCTCGCCTAATTCTTCATTCTCCAAATCTGGAACCGCACGTCCGTCCTCCGACTCATCAGAATAATTATCGTTATTGTTCATTAACTGAATTGAAAAACGAGTCCTAGCATTCACAACAATAACTAATAGGACGATACAAGAATAACACTGCATAAACCAACATTGCAAGAAA